TTTGAAAAGAAAATGAAAATGTTAACTTGTGCAGATGGAGATTATTTGATTAGGTGAAGTGTTGTGAATATCTATTTCATTATTAATTAAGTTAAAGTTAGAGGACATAAGTAAAATAGGCGAATTTAAGAGAGAATTAGATTTTGGAGTAAGATATATTAATTTAAAAAAAATTATACTACGAGACCCTAGCTCTTATAAATATAATATCATATTTTGTATCACTAAAATTTGCCAAGAATTATCGATCCTAAATAAATCGTTTACTTATTTTTATTATCGACATTGGAGGTAAAATTTTGCCCAAAATTTCAGAAACTTTAACAGCTATTTACTTTATTGCATAGTTTCCGTGTTCCAATAAATCTAGGTATTTGTGTGAGAGCATTGTGTATCTCTACACAATAAGTAATGTCAATTTACGTAGACAAAGACCAATTCCCCTGTGAGGGCGTATGAGAACAGAAGCTTCGACATCAAATATTGACAAGAGGGACTCTTGTCCCGCACCTCGATCGAACTGGGAGTCCGAATTAATAGTCCGACGGTCGATAGAAAATATTTATGTAAGATATATTTTTGAAATCGTTTTATAGATTAAATTTCGTATAAAAAATATTTATTTATTCAGGCAAAGGATCAACTAGTGGTGCATGGCATCGTGCTTTTAAGCAAATTGCTGGAACTTCCAGTACCCTAATTTAAATTTTTTAAAGCTCAGAAAAAAAAATTAGATTTTTGGCAATTTTATTTTTTTTTGAACATTTTTGGAAATTTTTAAAACAAAAATACTTGCGAAATGTGAATATTCAAAAAATTGTCTTTTTTGATAATACTGATATTTTTTGAAAACTTAGAATTTTTTGAAAACTGTTTTAATATTAGTCATATATTAGTATTGAGCGCGAAGCCATGGCTGCAGCCATCCACCAATCGTATATTTCGAAAACTGTTGCATGCACCGACTCAAAATTTTTGTCACAGTTTGGGTAAGGTACAATTATAATATATGCCAAGTTTCATCAAAATCGCAAACTCCGCTTTTGAGAAATTACCGTGATGCGTCTGTTTAAATATTTGGTAGGCCAAACGTGCTCTCAACCTAAAACTTCGCTAGTTTCAGGTCAGAGTGCGTTGGTCGGTAATCGCCAATACCCGCCAAGTTTAATTAGTAAGCAATTCCGCATATCTCAGAAACTATTGAACGTTCCAACATTAAATTTTTGTCACATTTTTGGTAAAGTATAGTTACAATGTGTGTCAAGTTTCATCAAAATCGCAAATAGTATTTTTGAGAACATACCATCTGTTTAAATGTTAGTATTGAGCTCGGAGCAAGCCACCCATCGACCTCGCATATCTCAGAAACAATTGAACGATCTAATTTTAAACTTTGGTCACATTTTTGATAAAGTATAGTTGTAATTTGTACCAAATTTCATCAAAATCTCGAAGTGCGCTTTTAAGAAATTAGCATGTTGCGTGTTTAAATATTTAGTAGGCTAAAAGTGCTCTCAACCTAAAACTCTGCTAGTTTCAGGTCAGAGTGAGTCGGTCCGTAATCGCCAATATCACACAAGTTTAATTGTTAAGTAATTGCGCATATCTCAAACACTGTTTCATGTACCGACTCAAATTTTATCACGATTTTGGTAAAGTATAATAATAATGTGTGCCAAGTTTCAACGAATTTACAAATTTGCTGCATCACATTATTGTATTACTACGAATGTCGATATAATAATAAAGACATTTCATCTAACAATCTCCATCAACTTTTTTATACTAAATAAATAAAACCGGCATATAGCTAGTTCCCTCTCGTTGATTGTTTTTGCTTGAAACAGTAACAAAACAAATATTGTATTTCAAATTATGCAAAATGTGATGATTGAATGATGATTTCATAATTTTAATGTTATGAATATGCGATCACTAGTTTGAATATATTGAAATCCAAAATAAACAAATTAATTCCTCATGAATTAATTCTGGTAAGACCAAGAGCAGAACAAAACAGCAATATATATATATATATATATATATATATATATAAATATATATATACATATATATAGAAAACTTTTTTTTTTTTGAATTAGCAATTCATTTGAATATATATCTTGAATTTAAAATAGTGGTACAAAATAAAATTCAGAGACTATATATAAGCATAATTTTGGTCCAGCTCCTTACCATGGTGGAGCAAGGCAAGGAGAAATCAATAATCGGATTCACGATTGCGATTCCACTTATATTGTTGTCAGGTTTCCGTCGGTTTCCGTCGGTTTCTCTGATTTCCGGTACACCGGCGTAATTCTGAACCACCTTCCGGCTACTTCCGCCGATGTCGACTTCCGTTCAGGCACAATAATGAATTTCGGAATGGTCTTCTTCGGTTGCGTCCTGATTGCGCAGTCTATCAGCATCTTGACATTTTCCTATTTAATGCTATGAGGAATCGTTTTTTTAGACGATGGAAAATTTTATTTTACATCATTATCTGACAAAAAATAGAGCGAAAGAAAATTTTTTGATTGTTCTGGTTTTGTTTGAAATACTATACTAAAATACTATAGGCCTATGATAAGAGGTTGAATTATAAAAAACTATCGAAATTGAATTATTAAGTTTAGAATTTCGGCGCAAGAAAATTGTAATCAGAATATGTGCTGAATCATATTTACATTCTTCGATATTTCGTACTGATCTCAATCGACTTTTGCAATTAAATAAAATACATTTTCCGAAATGGATGAAATGAAATGTGTATGTATGAGAAACATCCGCTGAAAATCGCATTGATTAATATTTCTTTTAGAAATAATAGTTGAATATTTTATCTGAATAGCAGAATCCCATTTCTTATTGATTTCATTATGTACACTAATGCAACTTGTCTTAAGGGTGTATTCTTCTGTAGAGGCATGAATTTCGCCCGGTTTTTGAAGCGCTGTATAAAGGAAACAAAAAATATTTTTACTATCGATTTTTTTATCATTTGTTTATTGATATTTTATTATTACATAAAAGAATTATTAAAAAAAATTAAAATTTACAAAGTTATGAGCAGTCAAAGTGGGGGCTCAAAAAATGAGGGTGTCCTGGCGTGCATGATTCCAACCCTCCTGGTGATCTAAAACATAAAAAATAGATGGATTCTTAATTATTATAGATGCCGCTATCATATGACCCTTGGATAAGTTAAATTTTTTTTTATTTGAATGGCGGCAGTTTGAAAAAAAAATTATTTTTTTCATGTTTTTTTAAACAATTCCGAATTTTTTAAAAATACTAAATGAAAAGTTATAGTTTTGGGCAAGGTCCACGCGATAAAGCAATGTATAGAGAAGATCCTCTCCAAATTTGAAGTAAATCGGTTCATTAGAACTCATGATATCCTTACGCCAGCTCGAAAAAAGTAGTTCCGAGAAAAACTCGTTCAAAGTTTTGCAGTCGGTCGGACCCGAACCGAGGCCACGGCACTAAAACGGCTATAACTCAGGAAATAATAGTAATTTTGAAAAATCCTTTTAATGACATATTTTTGAATAACTAAGCTTTGAAAATATGAAAAATAAGAAATATATAAAAAATTTCGATTTTTTCAAAATTCTACAGTAGAATACCCCCTTAAGGCAAAATGCTCTAGTTGCAACTAGTTGCATTATATTTTTTTTAATAAAATAGTTGTTCTACTTCATCAATGAATTAATTTCTATCTCAACAAAATACAATGTGTAACTTTATATCCCACGGTGATATCCTCTATAGTCCGTAAATTTATTATTTATAATCTGACAAAGTTCTTATCAAATTCTTAAGTGCTTTTTGGCGTTGAAACAAAACTTTTGCCAGTAATATTCTGTAATATACAGTTTCTGGAGTAAAGTCGTGACATTTATAAGTATTAAAGTATATATTATTTTGCTAACTGTGATAAATGCATTGTGTATGTTTATCTAAAATTTTCTTTATAGCAATAGCTATAAAGTCAATATATATTTAGTCATATATATAGTCAGTAGATTATCAAATAGTATATTCAAAATCGAATGTAATAAAAGTGATAAATATGTTGAAATTAATGAAAATAGAACTATATTCAAAAAATTATGTGTAGCTAATATCAATTCACATAAACAAATATATATATTTTTTTAACGAACATAAGGAATATAAATTCAATATTATTTATTTAATTATCAACGATATTTTTACCAACAAATATTAAAGAATGAAAATTTATTATTTAGAATTTTAATCTAATTTAGTATAAGGTTTTGAATAATGTAAATATACTAATCTGAGTGTAATAATATGAAAATTATATAAAAAAAATATCTAAGAAAGATTTATTTAAAGTAAGATTTTCCATATAAATCGAGGAAAGGTTCCTGAAAAAATAGATGTACGCTTCGTTGGCGTAGAAACTTTTGCTAAAGAAAATAGTAAAAAGTTATTTTAAGTAATCTGAAGTAAGTGAAATGTTCCTAATGCCGAAACACAAAAAAACATTTTCTGTGTAAACAATGAGAAGGATTTAATACTGAAGGCATTAAAGTTTTTGTAAAATGGGGAAATCAAAGCTCGAAAGGCTTGTGATATATTATGCGTCTTTTAGGGTTATAAAGTAAAATATTGGGCAAATGATATATTCAGCAGTAAAAAAAAATTACTGGCAGGGATGATAAAAGTTGAAGAAAAAATATAATGTTGCATTATCTAATTATTTTTACTACTACTCACGCATTTGATATGTCTTAAAATAAACTTTTATTTAACAAGCTTTTCTCATTAATTTATATGTAATTACCCATGGCTGAATTTTCAAACACTAAGACTCAATAATATTAATTAGTAGCTATTAAAAATTAATAACCTATGTACGCTAAAATGTCATAAATATATTTTACAATTTATATTTTAAGAACAACATATTTTATATTATGTTTTAATGATTTTCTGAATTCTCTATAATAAACCATTATGTTTTTCAGGAGCTGATCACTGTCCATACGATTGGTTAAGCGTCTTTGATGGGCGAGACGATCAGGCGCCTCTTATCGGAACATTTTGCGGTATGGGCAAATTTCCACATAGTATTATCGGAACATCGCAGCATCTCTATGTGGAGTTTGTATCTTCGCCAGCAGGTAAGAACATCATAGAAACTAGTGGTGTAATATTATATATTAGATCTGGTGGTGTAATATTATATATCGTGCTTTATGGCAAATTGCTGAAACTTTCCGTACCGTAATGAAATATTCGAGAAATTTTAAACGTTTTCAAATATATTATACAAATACGGCTGTAACTTTCATTATTTTTGCTATCTTGTCATATCTGAGCAAATCAAATGTGAATCATGAATCAATTTATCTCCAGAACATTAACAATCATCATTTTATTTCGAACTCAATTTAAAAAAAAATAGTTGCCTAATTTACACAAAATTGAGAAAGTGCTCCCGTAGTCTAAACGCATTTGCAAATAATTTTGTGCGACAATTTCACTTATACTCTGCTTAGCTTGGCGGCATTTTCACATTTTTCAATAGTTTTCACATAATTGGAAAAGTGGGTAAACATTTGCACTAGAGTGGCGCTTAGACTGTGTTTAGCCTGGGTAATTTTTTGAATTTTTAATCCAAAATTACAAAAATATTTTTTGAAAAAAAAATTAGAAACAAATTTTTTTTCCAAAAGCAATTATTTTGTTGAAGCAAGCAGAAAGTTCTTTGAATCAATTAAATCGGACGCTTAGTTCTCTCAAAAACTGTCATTTTTTAACATTTAGCTCTGTATCTCCGAAAACGCTGGGCCTACTTTTGCCAAAATCTAACAACCACTTTTTCCCGTTATTATGAACTGAATGTTTTTTGGATCATACAAATCGGATGATCCGTTCTCTCAAAAACTCGATTTCTATTTTCTGCACTCTTTGCTCCATATCACCGTAACGGCTGGACCTGCTTTTGCCTAAAACTAATCAGCACATCTCCCTATTGATAGGAATCGAATGTTTTTAAACCACTTAAATCGGTTGATCCGTGCGCCCGAAAACGTAGACGAAAAAATGCGGACATACAAAACACACACACACAATCCATTTTTTTCTGAAGTATGCCAAAATGTTCAGAAACCTTCAAAACGTCGAGAAATGCAAAAATTTCAATTTTCGATTTTTGGCCCATCACTATAACTACGCTACGGGAAGTTAATAAATCCAGTATATACACCCTTATATCTCTGCAAATAATTTAAATTTTGAAAAATATTCTTGTAAGTATATCTTGATTAGTACAATATATATATATATATATATATATATTAGGGTGGTCCTTAAAATGGTCATTTTAAATTTTCAAACTTTGTATGGAAATAGCATGGAAAAATTTTGAAAATTTAAAACAAATGTTTTAGGTATAACTTAGCGACAAATGAATAAGTTTTATTCATTCATTTGTTCGCTAAATTACATCTAAAATACATACTAAAAATTTTTGAAAATTTTTTCCGTGCTCTTTCCATACAAACTTTGATTGAATTGCGCTCTATCTAAACGTTAATATTAAGAGCTAAAACTTGCAGAGAATTGTTTCTTATCTATTTGGAACCATTTGAACCCCTGGGAGCAAGAAAACTCGAAAATGACCATTTTAAGGACCACCCTAATATATATATATATATATATATATATATATATATATATATATACTATATTATTTCCCAGGTCCCCTGCTCAATACCGGCTTCCATTTCAACGTGGGCAACTGGCCTGGACACGTAGAGACCGCAGGCGTTCGCCAAGGCCCTTGCGATTGGCTCCTTAGTTCCGACTCTTTGAAGAACTCTGGTGCTACTGAAGGTATCTTCTTGAGTGTAGCACATTGGTATCCTCCTGATACAACTTGCAGCTATCATATACAAGGAAGACCGGGAGAAATCGTCCGATTGTACTTTCCGAGGTAAGTAGTAAATTAATTACGATTATACGTTAGTTGTATCAACAGAATATATAGATATATGATTATTATAAAAATATTGAAATTTATATACTTTTCTTAATTTTGTTTCAAATATTATATTACAATAATGAATTGAATTATTAGTATAATAACCAACTAGTTAACTGGTTACTAGGTTAGACTAGATTTATATTAGGGAATGCAATACCAGATTACCGGTATACCGAATTACCGGTAAACCGCCCGATTTTTCAACGGTATTTTTACCGATTTTTACCCCAAAAATACCGGTATTTTCGGTATTTTTACATAAGCGCTATTTGATACATAATACACTAAAGTTTAAATTTATCTTTAATTTTCATAATCGCATAAATACCTTCAAGTGATTCTATAGGAGAAACAAATGTCGAATATTATCTCAACTTGTTATTAAACTGAATATTTATTGCTTTACTAAGGGCTTCATATCGTGTTACAATAAATAGAATTGGACTGATAGATAATGATGTTTGTTTCATCTTATGTAAAATGTAATGGTTTTTTAAGTGATATTTGCGCCAAAATATTTTATATCACACAGATTACCTCTGCGTAATATTTATTTTTTTTCTAACTTTATACATAATAATTATGATAATTACTAAATATTTTTACTTCTTATTACATTTATAAAATATTATTTTTCGAAAACGTTTCGAAGTTTGAAAATACTATAGAACCTTCACATTATTTTAAATAACAATACTCAACATATATAGTAACTTATTATTTATCTCGACAAAGAATACGATTTTAAATTATTGTACAAAAAAATTTTTTTTTTAAATATTGGAGATTATGCTAATTTAACACATCGGATACAGACAATACAGATTATTATAATAATGTAATGTGATCTTTTATGAGTCTTTGGTCTTTCTTACTCATAAGTTTGTTTTTGGTGAAAAGTACTCAATATACTCGATAGTGATAATGAATTAATTAAATTGGATATAATTTTGTTAAATTATTATTTAAAAAAATGAATTTATTGTTTTATTTTATTGTTTGTATTGTTTAGTTGAATATAGTTGCAGTTGTGTATACATTTTTTTATATTTGTACTAGTAACTTGCAATTTTATTTACGTTTGTTTAAGATAATAAAAATACCTGTATTCCGGTTTTAAAATAAAAAATTTCCGAAATACCGGTATTGAAATTTTCCATCGGTATTGCATTCCCTAGTATAGATATATGATTATTATACAGTTACAGAATTTTATATACTTTTCAGATTTTTTTTAATTTTTTAAGATTAAAAAACCATAGTCTTTACTATTAAAGTGAATTATTACTATAGTAATCGATGATTCACGAGTTAACTGTGGCGATTCCAAGCGGCTACAAATGAAATATTTACTAGACTAGTTACCACTAGATTAATTTAGCAGGATTACTGGATTTTTTATTTTCACGTTCGTTAAAAATCGCTTTATCCATTATATAAGGCAATATGATTTGAATTGAAGGAATTTCATTAATCCGAGGTATGCTATTTAAATCGCATTAGCTGCTGAACGGAAGCATTAACGCCATATTGCGATTTCCCATCAAACCTGCACGATCAGCACACACAAACGAAATATGCTGCTAATCTTTTTATGAATAAATTCAAATAATTGTATCGAAGAGTTAGAAATTAAATTGAAATCATTCCAGAAATATAGCATCATTTATATTAAGTATTAAGTATACAATTTGAATCTTTATGTAAAAATCAATGTATGTATTTAAATCAAGAAAATTTAAAAAAAATTATATTAAGGAGGGAGCCTGCTTTAAAGGCTATAAAAAATCGCTTTTTTTGAGGAATTTTTAGAGAACGAAATAAATATTTAATTGAAACGAAACCTTCAGGTTTTATTGCTATATATTTCAACATTCTTTTCAATTTTTTTCATTAAAATATAGGACGTAAAATGCCGGCTATAAGCATTTTGCCGATGCGCCACGAGCGTGCAGGTGTCATTTGGCTGGAAAGATACAGGTCACAATTTCTAAACTAAAACTAAAAAAATATTGATTTTTGGGCATTTATATTATTATATTATTTATATTTGGGCAAAATTCTAATAATATATTCACACATGTTTTAAGAATACATAGTAAAATTTTTGAAGAAAAAAATTAAATATTTTTTAACTTATCGTCGATCTCCAACAGCGCGAAAAAAAGCCCTTCACTGCTGCAGTAATTCCGGCCTTTTACGTGGATGAAATTTAAAAAAAAAATTCGTTAAACTAGATAATATAGTCTGTAAAATGACCTACGATAAAAAAATAAAAAATTGACAAGTTTTATAAAAAAAGTCGAATTTTACCCAAAATTTTGGTCGTTTTTGGACTGCCAAAATTCGATTTCTGATCCGATCAAAAAATCGATAGTTCATTTTACGGAGAACTATATATAGAACATGTAAAAAAAACATTTGATAGTGATCGAATCATTTGTTTTTGAGTAATCGCTGCAGCAAATTCGGAAAATGCTGTTTCGAGAAAAACGCGTTTAAAGATAAAATGATCGTTATACTATATACTATATATATATACTCTTTAAATGGCTGTAACTCAAAAACTATTTAAGATATCGATTTAAAATTTTGGTATGTTATTTTTAGAGGTATAACCTATCGAAATATGGGAAATTGAAAATTCGTTTTTTTGAAAATTTCACACTAGGTGTGCCCCTTAAAAAGTGGGTTAGTTCTAATTTTTTTAAAGTTTTTTGGGTTCAACTAGAATAGAATTTAATCCTAAATACAATTAATTTTGTTTCTTTTCAATAGGACGTTTAGTTTTTTTCTATTTTTCCCGCCAATTAGGAAGAATTAAAAAAATTCAAAACCGAGAAATCGCGCGTCGAAGTTTTCGTTCCGCTTGTATACATGCTTGACGCTAGCTCACTATTTCTTCTGCAATTTCGAAAATAATTGGAATTTGTTTCTGGAACTTATTTTTACATATTTTTTTTGGCTAGTTTTGGAAGACATTTTTGCAATAAAAAAATCTATTTTTTAAGCCTCTAAAGCAGGCAACCCACTTAAGTTTGTGTACGTATATAGGTAGAATTTTTTGTGAGGTCATCTTTATGCACCACTCGTTTCTGTAAAAATTTTTTTTAGTAGGCAGCAAGATTAGAAAATAAAGATTAGGATAATGCTTTTTAGGTTTGCATAACGTAAATAATTACATCCTATGTTTGCCCATAATTCAACATATCTTTTATTTTCCAGTTTCCGAATAAATCGTGTCGAGGCTGCCATCCGACCAGCTCAGGGCGACTGTGCCGAATCGCTAACATTATATGACGCTGATGGGCCCGATGACGCGAAAATCATCAAGACTTTCTGTGACACGTTCTCTAGGCCCATGGAAAAAGTCGATTTTGTCAGTTCCGGGCGATCGCTTTTCGTTCGCTTCGAGAGCAAAACGGGAAGCTATAGCGGGTGAGGAAAAAACATAAATTGTCTTCAATATATAAATGATTCGATGTGATATTACAACACTGTTGTGAATTTATCAAGTCATTATAGAGGTAATGGAGCTGGGTACTTGATTTTTTTAACTTTAACTTCCCGAAGAAGGATTTTATGTTTTCATCAAAAAATCCGATTCGCTAATTTTATGTTTTCACGACGTTTCAAACCATTCTGAATCGAATTTAACCAAATTTGGAAAAATTACATATGTGAACAGATTTTTTGTGTAAATCGACGTTTTCTCAAAAACGTACGGAATACTTTAACTCACTCATAAATTAATTTATTTTTTATTGATTAAGTCGATTATTTACACATATCGCCTAATTGCCTCAAGGCAAAATACTAATACTAACTAGTTTAATTAAGATATCTTGAACTACCCTGATTATGTATCTACAAAATAAAGGTGAGTAGATACTGTAACTATACATCACGAGAAAAAATGCGGTGTTACAATTTACTTTGTGCTTGGGGGTAGTTATGACAAAAACCAAAACTACTCGTAATAAAATATACATAGTGTCACCTGCAATACAATTTACATGTGCACTAGGGTTTATACAAAAACCGACATTTCAGAAAACCGGTTTTCGAATTTTAATTCTACTAAAAAACCGGTTTTAACCGGTTTTCGAATTTTATATAGAAAATAAATTTTTACTCGAATTTGCTGTAATTTATCCGCAAAAGTGTAATTTAGAGCAGACTGAATTTATTTATTGACTGAATTTATTTATTGTTCAATTTTATAGATAATAAACAAAATTATTTTAATTTTAATTAGTAGAACAAAAAAATAATAGTTTATCTTGATTAAAAACTTTGGAAATAATTATTCGTTATTTATGCATCATTTGCACATATAAGAATGAAAATATTTTTGATAGTAAAAGGAAAGTTTTCGGATAAATAAAAATAATACATTTTTAAATTAAAAAAATTAATTAAATTAAAAAATATTACATACATGTTAATACATACTTGTTAATATCAATTTTAGTTTTAAAAACAATTAAGCTAAACTCGAGTATTGTCTGTTCCGAGCAATTTTAAATAAATAATTTTAAACATTCTAATTGTTTTTTGTTTAATAAAATATGATTTCAAGAAACTGAAAAGGGGAATTGCTACTTAGATGTGTCCTTTGTTTACTCACAAAATTTTCTGAAATGGAAAATATTCTCATACTTACGACCAAATTATGCTTAAAGGTTTTTAAAACCTGATATCATAATTCTAAGTTTTTTGTTCTTTAATTTGTGACTTCTGGAGTTTAAACTTTTTTTTTAAGTTTGAGTAGAGGAAGTTACTTCTTCAAGAAAAAGTCACACTGATTGAAATTAATATATACTCTGGTATAAAAATCTAAATTCATATATACAAAACCTTTCTGGGAACCATTGCAGACTGATGAAATATCAAATGCTATTGAACCGATATGATTTCAAGACTCAAAACGCTTTCATCTACTTTTTATATTTTTATTTGTCATTTTCCCTTTTTTCACTAAAAAGCCGGTTTTTAAATTCCATAATTCTCGCCAAAAAATGGTTTTTAAAACCGGTTTTTGAAAACCGACAAACCCCAGTGTGCACACATCTTAATGACATAATACTATGCAATCATGTTAAATTAGTAAAAACTAGATAAAATTGGCTGAAGTATAAAAGAAACTTTTATTTATACTTGAATATTGAAATAATGGAATGAAATTAATATACCCAATAAACTGAAATATTCGAGATGAAACCATAAATTTCGGAGTTTGTTATTAGCATTAGTGCATTATTTTTTTACCTCCCTCCAGATCTTCTCTGTACTACTGGGCGCATTACGATTTCTTCAACGACACCCGCTGGGGCATTCCAGTGCCGAACAGCGTCTGCGACGAGACGTTCCCCGCCTGGCGCGTATTGAAAGGAAAGCTGCGGTCTCCGCTAAATTCGCTCGTGTACAAGAGGGCCGCCGGATCCGACGTGAGGTGCCGTTATCGCTTCGTCACCGACAAGAGACTATTCTCGAGGGTTGTGCTGGATATAGTCAGCCTCAATTTCAAGGTAGGCGGGTTGGGGCATGGCTTACTCAAATGTACGAACATCAAGTTATTTTATAATTTTTATATAAAAGTAATTTTTAAATTACTTATAGTTTAGTCACTGAAAAAGATCTAGTAATTATTTATGATATTGTATTGTTTCATAAAAAAATTGTTATATTTCCATTTCTAACAGATTCGATGTAATTATTCTCGCAAATCAGTCATTCTCGTTCATCATTTCCCTTTTTCCGTTAAATATCTTAAATTCCTCAAAGTTTATATCGTTGTTTAATTTGTATTCAGAACATAGTTAGGAAAATATTTTGCACTGATGAACACGTCTGCATGCATTGTAATATCGCCATCCATTATTTCAGAGCCAACGCGTTGTGAACAGCGGTTGAATAACCATTATAAAATTCAACATATTGGAAATAATTCGTAACACAAATTTATCATTACGTAGTACAATCTGTTAAGAATTTATACATGAATTTTCAAATAAAGAAAAATGTCATACCGAATTAAAAAAGAAACGAGGATGGTACATGAAGTTTTTTATATTGTAACAATACCACTCAGATATAATATTTTCAACATATGAGAAATAAATTCAACCATTCACAGCAAGAACCGGTGATACTCATAACTTTTTTTTTTTTTAAATCGACACGATAATTTTTGATCGCTGTGGTAATTTAGAAAGCAAATAATGCAAAAATATTTGCCTGAATTCACTCTGTAATTACCACAAGCAAATATATTTTCCGAACATAATACTATTATGGTACAATTCATAGACCAAAGCTCAATTTATTATATAAGTAGGAATATTTATGTGTCATTTACAAGCACATTTACCTCTTTGAGATTGCTACTAGGGCACAGCGAGTGTAACCGCCTAAAAAAAGGTTATTTTTGGGAATTTATATTAAAAAAACTACTTTATCAATAATTTCAAACTTTTAGGAATATATTTATACATGTTTTAAAAATACATAGTAAAATTTTTGAAAAAAAAATTAAACATTTTTTAAGTGACAAACGGCGTGACAAAAAAGGCCCTTATTGCTGCAGTGATTCCGGCCCTCTACGTGGATGAAATTTAAAAAAAAAATCTCGTTAAACTAGATAATATTGTCTGTGAAATGAACTACGATAAAGAAAAAAAATGACAAAATGACGGCGTTTTTTAAAAAAAAGTCGAATTTTACCCAAAATTTTGGTCATTTTTGGACTGCCAAAATTCGATTTTTGAACCGATCAAAAAATCGATAGTTCATTTTACGGAGAACTATATATAGAACATGTGAAAAAAATTTTGATAGTGATCGGATCATTTGTTTTTGAGTAATCGCTGCAGCAAATTCAAAAAATGCCGTTCCGAGAAAAACGCGTTTAAAGATTAAATGATCGTTATACTGTATACATACTCTGTAAATAGCTGTAACTCAAAAACTATTTAGGATATCGATTTAAAATTTTGGTATGTTATTTTTAAAGGTATAACCTAAATACGAAAAAATTGAAAATTTGATTTTTTGAAAATTTTACACTAGTTGTGCCCCTTAAAACAATTTAATTTTTCGGATTGTTTTAACTAGTTCTGTATATTTTATGTATATGATATAATAATTTTTATATATTTTTTTACTTTAATTGAGCGATTATGAATGCGTCATGCACAGAAAATGTTTATCTTGTTGTGATCACTTTAAAAGCAATTTAATTTACCAGAATGCTTTAGCTAGTTTTGTATACTTTATGTGTCAATCATTATAATTTTTATGTCCTCAAGTTATGTTTTATTGCAGTTCTATCAAAGTTTTTATATTATTACCATGTGAAGGTAAGAATGTATTAGTTAGTGCATATTTATCCTGAAGGTGGTCAATTGGAAAGAAGTTCACCGAATAATTAACATGCTTTTATTGTGATAATTTTCATTTTTCCAGGATCATCCTTACAGCACCGGTCCATGTACGAGATGCATGGACGATCGCGTCGATAAACTTATGGCCTGGGAAGGCACAGGAATTGAGCACGCAGGACTCATGACCTGCCTATGTACACCGCCTACAAGGCCGATTCGTCTGGTGTCATCCAGCGATCAACTTACCTTAGAAATGCTTGTACAAGGTTCCCATGCAGCAGCGAGTTACTTCAAACACAACGCCGCGCTTTTTGAGGCCCGTTACGAGTTTGTACACGGACCACTATGTGGACCTATTTCTATGGGGCCAACATCTGATGGCGAACTTGTTTACCCATACAGAGGTGCTTTAGGGTTACCCTTGCCAGATCCGCCAAGAAAAGAACGTTGTATATGGACAGTAAGAGTGGCCGCACAGCGGGATCTTTGGCTTCATTTAGATAAGGCGAGGTTTGCCGGACGCAGTTGTGACGAAGGCCGTATCGAAATTGCCCTCGCTGGTCGAGCTGAACCAAGATTTATTGTTTGTGGTGAGAATATCAGTGTCGCCAAAGACCTACCTATTTTATCAGCCGCTGAATTAGGTGCAATAGATGGCCCGGAAGGTCCACAAGAACCACCACCAGTCACAATCCAATATAGTGGTGATGGTAATCCGTCTAGAGTCTTATTCCGCTTGGTTTGGACAGAATTATATCATCTACCACGTAATGCTGATGGAACTTTAGCTACATCAAAATATACCGAGTCTGGTGACAATTGTGAATTTGCTTGTCCTGGAGGCGCAGGCTTATGTATACCGACAAGATTGGTTTGCAACGGCGAAGAAAATTGTCCTAACACCACATCATTCAATGCAATCGATACACGCTATATAGAAGACAATCTTAAACGCATGGGCTTGTGGCAACATGAAGATTTACGCAATTTGAAATTTTTAACAGACGAATCACCGGCGATATGCAACCGAAGGGACGTGAGTGATTTACAATGGTTGGGCGTTGCAGTAGGAGCTGCTTTAGGAGCAATTTTAGCCGCACTTTGCCTTGTAGCTTTGTGCAAAGCTTGCCGCCGAAAACGAGACTACTGACCAAAAAGTACAGCCACTACTACACTTTTCAACTACAATAATAAATATTAATTAGTTTTGTAAATAAAGCCAGAAGTACTATTTCCAAAAATTAATCACAGATATATTATTTTTTTACTATCTTGCAAATACTTCATGCAAAATTCAAAAAACGATGATATATATTTATAAGTGATTTATCTGAGCGCGTGTAAAATGAAAATTATCTATTCTGGAAATAGTAAACTGTCTGGTATTCACCGTATGAGCACAATATACAAATTTGGCGTGTAGTGTGGCAGCACAAATCACAAATATGTGGAAGAATTGAATGTCTGGATTTTTATTCTGAAACTGTATTTTAATCAAAGCAAACTGTTGATATTAAAGCATTTCAAAGCATGTGTGACTAAAACTGCTAAATTTGAAATACTATTTTTGATCTTGCAATAAATTTAAAACACGAATCTAATGTATGTATTATATGTATATAAACCTACATGCAGGATATTCATGGGGCTTAAATATAAATTAAACTAAAAAAATCACCAGTTATTCAGATAAATTTATTGCACTATCTTAAAATTTCATGAACAATATCAATAAGAAAATATGTATTCACGTATAATAGATTTAAAATAAATAAGTAGTGACGTTGAAATAATTTTAATTTAATTATTTACGTAAGGACAAACATATTTTTCAAATGCATTAGATAATAGTGAAATCAAATTGAAAATTCTTACTGAGTACTAAAACACAGCATAATAATTTTAAGTTAAAAGCAAATTTTACAATATATTAAATATTTCTGAACATAATATTTTTATTATTGAAAAGGTTGCAACGCACAAAACAAAAATATATTTGTCGCTTAATATATTTTTGTTTAATTTATTTTTAAATGTTTCTATTGACAATGACAATGTATATATATTTAAATAAACATAATATTAAAATTATTGAAAGGTATTAATTAAAAATAAAGCTAATATATTAAATTCATTTATTATAATTATATAATTGTACAAACATGTTCACAAAATTACAATTGTAAAATAAACTTAAATTATATTTTAAAATTTTACCTATTTCACTGCCAATTGATTTAATCTATATGATTAGTGTATAAAAATATTCTCATTCATAAATCTTATTCATCAAAATCTAGCATTATATTTTATGTGTATAGCTGCATAGAAAATCGAAATTAGAATTGTAGTTTACTATTTATAAAAAAAAAATAATACAACTAAAATTGTTTGAGAATCGGCCTCTCACACATATATATGTATATATTCTAAATTGTACATAAAATAATTTCATGGATTTGTTAGAGGGTAAGTAATACTAATTGTAATTTAATGACTATAGTAGAATGTTTCACGGTTAATTGTAGATGTAAAGAAATTCACAAAATTAAACATATTGTATTTAATATATTTTTAAAAAATATTTAAAATAAATGAGCGGGTTTTATTCATTTTTATTTAACTTATATTAATCAACAGAAAGAAGCATAAGAATATCACTTGCAAATAAAGGCATAATTGTAAGTCGACAAGTAAGATTTGTATTCTTATAAAGGTAAGCAATGAAAATTTTGTGTAATAGTAAAAGTAGATATTTATTTCAATAATATGTTTTTATGTTTTAGAGTCACTAACACAGAGCAGCCTCAAATCTGCAGATAAATACTCAAGAGGATTTTTACCAAATTGAGTAATTTATTTTTATTTAAATCAATTTAATAATAATCGATCAATTACATACATGATTCATGTAACAAATACATGCAGCTACTAAAGTTAAAATTATTAATATTTTTTTAATATATAGGAACAAATGTTAATGTGAAATGCAGCCAAAATAAATTTTTGTTTGTTGGTTTATGATTTAATCCAAAGTTTTGCCCTTTTTTGATTTTGTAGAGGTTTTGAAAATCATTGAGAATATAATTCCTGTGGAAATAATACTTCGGCTACTTACACGTAGGTGTTAAGGTATTACATAACTTTTGCTAACAATTTTTTCACAGGTTTCATTCGCATCTGAAGAAAACGTAACAGCCAGTTAATTGGGAACTCTAAAGGTTTCAATTCAAATTATATTTTCAAATTAAAATTGATTAAAAATTGGTAAGTGCTTCTGTGTTTATTATATTTTATTTAACTTTGCTTTTACGATTTAACTAGCGAAAAAATTGAGCAATTGAACAATTGAAATACCAGGGATTTATATACGTCACCTTTTTTTTTGTTTTTCGGTCACATTTTCCACTTCCCAAAAATGTCTGCCCACATAAAATAGTTTTAATTATTATGAAATTCCAAATCCCAATTAATTATCAAAAAAATCAGTTATTTTCATTCATGTTCAAACTAAGCGATTAGTAGAAGAGCTTTTTTGATAGGTATAAATTTTGTTTACTTACACAAAATGTCAAACTGTGATAAAAATGATGTACTTGCGTCAAAATGTGATCCCTGTAAATCAAAATGCAAAAATACTAAACCAGAACCAGAAGCAAATGTACCACCAGATGAAGTCAATTATGATGAAGAATTTAGAGAAGGAATTCGAGATCTTGCATTTATTGGCATGGAGCTCGAGGATCCTATCGGTATAAAAAATCGATGAAAATAATCATAATTATAATATATATATATATATATATATATATATATATATATTATAATTATCTTCTATATATATAAAAATAAGTCGGGTTTTCCTTCCTGACGAAATAATTCCAGAACGCACGAACCGATTTCGACAATTTTGCATTCGTTGGAAAGGTCTCGGGCTCCGCAAGGTTTATAGCTAAGAAAATTAGTTGTGCATGGCATCGTGCCTTAATGCAAATTGCTGGAACTTTACGCACCGTATATAAAAATTCGAGTAATGACATTAGTGAGAATTATCAGAATTATGCTTGGTTAAGTCAACGAGCAATTCTTGCTGCAAAGAATAATGATGTACACGCACTGGATTTCACCATTCAATCAAAAATTGCTGACGATTTGGTGACATACCAATGATTCCGACTGGTCTTCCGTTTGACTTCAAACGATTGCAATTTCCAGTTCGACTTGCGTTCGCAATAACAAGTCTCAAGTCCAATCGCTTAGTGTTTGCGGGATAAATTTCAAATAGATTATTTAGAAAATTATTGTTTTTCACATGGGCAGTTATACGTTGCCTGTTCACGGCCATTCCCTTTGTTTGTGTTAACGTCAGACCAAAAAACAAAAAATGTGGTTTACCAAAGAGCACTCGAATGAAACGGATAATTTGCGGATTCACTTTCATTTACTTAGAGAAGTTCAACTGAAAGACACTTCATTTTTTGTAATCGAAATAAAATCATTACTGTTGTGTTAAAATCAAAATTTTCCTTTTCAAATATAAAACAAACAAAAAAATTCTTCATCTTTCTCACGAAACCATCTGGTGGCGAAACGGAATTCGTTGGGTTTGCTAGTATATTATAATTTACAATGTAGTAAATATGATGATACATGTACAATGAAATTATCATGACAAAACATAGAAAAAAAAATATTTTGTGTAATTTAAAAAGTATGAGCTTTCAAGTACGGTCCAGAGTTTTGGTCAAACTCAATTGGCAGAATGACATACCTGATACTGAGATCCAGTATAATAAGGAATATGTATTTTAATTCTTGATTGTAGTTATTTGTTATATTTTGTAGTCATTAACTTCATAACATTATTTTATTATAAATAATATTAATATAATATTTTTATTAGATCGTGTCCTGGTTGCAGAATGGGTTAGACGCCTGGCCAGCCGCGAACCCTCAGATTTGAACGAATCCCGAATGCGCAACGAATATGTTCAATATATGCGAACTATGGTTCCAGTAGGTCGTCTATCATTTCCTTTCAATAATCCACCAGACGATAATCCTTTAATACCACTTGCAGAACTGTTGGCCAACAATCTCTCAGCTCAGATAAAATACCTACCAAGAGCAGGTTATAATACATATATATATATATATATATATATATATATATATATATTTAACTAAAAAATAATTTGCATTGTGTTACTGAATATTTGTTTTCAACTTTCAGGACCCATTTTTCCAGTTATTAGACAAAGCACACCAGATGGTACAGGAAACCTTTGCATTAAATATACCGACAAAGGATTATTGTGCTACATGTCGGTCGAATCAGGCGAGGTTGAAACAGTTGCTGAAGTCGAGGAAGAGGAAATATAACTTACTTTCAATATATCCTTTTTATAAAAATTTAATTTATAACTGCGAAAAATTGAAAATTGATAATTAAAAAGTAGCTGTGTTATCCTGGCATTCACACTCAGTTTATTGTAATACTACCGGAGCTATTGTAATCAAACATAATGATCAAAACCTAAAAACAAAGTAACAATAAATATATTAATATCGATAATATATTTTTAAAAAAATCAGTTTGATTTTAAAATATAAAGTTAAATGTTTGAAAAATAGATATTCATAAAAATATAAATAATTGCTATCTGGTAACATTTTATAGGATTAAATGCTTATGTACAATAAATTTTTCTTCTAACATTTATTTTATAACATTAGAGAGTTAAAATTTTTATTTAGTGAATGAATTCGAAGGGGGGTTCGACAAATAATCACAAAATATTACGTGGGGAGGGAAGGGTATAGTAAGATATCAAGTGCATTTATTTTTACCTAATTTTTTTAAAAGAATCGAAACATTTTAAAATAAAATCAAAAGTTTTACAATTGATTATTAATTGAGTAATTTGAATATTACCACGTATCACCAAAGGGAAGAAGGGGTTCAAAAATCATTAAAAAATCGATCACGTGGTTAATGTTGATTTTTTTTAAATAAATTGAATGAAGTAACTAACCTTTTAGAACATCAGATCACTTTATGTTTCGTAAATTAATACAATATCAATATAACAAAATAATATAATACAACATTATTTTAAAACTTACTGGTAATTATAATATAGAATTGCTAGGAGCTTATATTACAATACAGCTACTTAAACAATTTACCAATCACAAAAATTGTTTCACGTTATCGAAAATTGATAAATTTCAAGCAAATTGTGATATATAAATCCGAAATTTTATGTTTCAATTTTATATTCTTAAAAAAATGATGCACCTGCACACTTCTGTTTACCGTGAAAAACAATTTACATTCCAATCAAATAAAAAAAGTAACATTTTTTTAATAAGCCCCTAATTCCCTTACTGATTTTATTTGCGTATTACTAACTAGAACTAACGTGAATAAATTAATTGCGTTTTACTATTAAGGGGTTACACCACTGTAGCAGTAAAAAAAAAACGTATGTTTTTGCCATTTTTTCGGACGGCAGGAATAGTATTAAAATGTTGATATTAAAGATAGTTATTGATTTTACTTTAAAGTAACAAAATAAAATATAATTGTAAAAAAAATTAAAAATGGCGGTACTACAATCATTTCGTCATCCGTCAAAATAACTACAACAATTTGAATTTTTTGCTTTCGAATTTTCAGTAGCACATTTAAAATAAAATTTTAAAGTGCCCATCATAGCGGATTTGAAAAATATCGATTTTTGTTTGTTTGGCGAGCACTTTATTCAAAATCGTTGAATATCAACGAAAAAAATGGCTTGTAATTTGTTAATAATTGATGAACAAATTAGGATATTAAAGATCTCCTATGATGAGCACTTAAAAATGTAATTTTAAATATACTGTAAAAAATTCTAGTGAAATAAATTCAAATTGTTGTAGTTATTTTGCGTGTCGCGGATTTTGACGCTGCTCGCCGAAATGGCTGTAGTACCGCCATTTTTAAGTTTTTTTCACAATTATATTTTATTTTGTTACTTTAAAGTACAGTAAATAACTATCTCTAATTTCATGAATGTAATACTTTTCCTTCTGTCCGAAAAAAAATGCAGAAAACATACGTTTTTTTACTGCTTCAGTAGTGTAACCCCTAATAGTAATTATTTAATAATATTTACTCCATGACAAAAATACGTATTAAATTTCTACATTCTTATGTGTTGTATAGGCAATTATTTATAAACGATTTGGATTTTTATTACCTATAATTACGAAGAGTATAAATACATCTAACACACGTACCAAAATAACACTTAATACACACTAGATAACACTAAATTTGTTCAAGTCCAACCATATAAAGTCTTCAAATTTCTTCATAAATATTTTCTTCAACTATCTCGGATTCGATTTCACGGATTCGGTGTCCAAGTCTGGCAAGGGCACCGGCACGCAGGGCAATTGGTGCTGCGACAGAGAGCCCTTCACCGAGGCCCTGCGACCGCGGTCTCTGGCCTGCTCTAAAAATGGGTGCGTGTCGAACACCATGCATTGAAGGGCGTTCCAGCGGCTTTCGAACTCCGCGTTCGGTGATAATTTTTTGCCTAAATTAGATAGAAGAGTAGAAGTTAAGTTGGTCATTGGATATATGAAAGAAATTTGTGAATGGATATTGGTAAAATAAGAATATGTATGTAAAGTTAATTTTTAAAATTACGAACACCCAAATTACTTGGCACACAAAGTATTTTCAGAAGCGCGCCCAACAAGACTAAAACAAAAAATTCCCAATGATCTCATAAATTTGTAAACGTTAACATTATTATTATTATCATTATTATTATTATTATTATTATTATTATTATTATTATTGCTGTTATTATTATTATTATTATTATAAGGTTGTCAAATATCTCCCTTTGTATTATAAACCAAGAGCAAAAAAGCGGAAGGGAGATATTTGACAACCTAATATTATTATTATTATTATTATTATTATTATTACTTCTATTATTATTTTGTTATATTTTATTATTTTTCTAGTATTATTTTATTATTCAGAAATTTTATTTATATTATTTATTAATTTTATTTTTATTATTATTTGCTTATATTTTATATCAAATCATATTACGGACATTATTTTCATGTAAATTTTATCCTTTGCACTTTTATTTATTTAAATTTATGTTATTATTTATCAATATTACTAGATGTTAATAATTTAACAGTTGTTATACTTATTGAAATTAAAAAAAAAAAAAAAAAGTTTAAAATTGTATATGTATAACCATGGTGACCCTGAACTCAACGTCAACGGATCGTAAATAATAAGAAAAAAAATTCAGAAAAAAATATTTGAATATATATATATATATATATATATATATAGTATATGTATATGCAGGGTATCCCAGAACTCAACGCCAACGGATAAAAAGTAATAAAAACTTTAAAAAATATCCATCTCATGATACTTTTAATTTAGTTTTGAAATTCAACGCCAATGTATCGTACATAACAAAAAAAATTTTTTTTTAATTAACCGTCTCATAAATAAAATTTAGAAAACAATTTTTAAGAAGTATCAATCTTATGATACTTTTTAGGGTGTCCCAGAACTCAACACCAACGGATCGTAACTATCAAGAAAAAAAGTTTAATTAATTTAGTTTTAAAATTGTATATATATATGTAGGGTATCCCAGAACTCAATGCCAAAGGATCGTAAAAATCAGGAAAAACAGTTATAAAAAAAAATATCCATTTTATGATACTTTTAATGTAGTTTTGAAATTGTATATGTATATGCAGGGTATCCCAGAACTCAATACCAACGGATCGTAAAAACAAAAAAAAATGAAAATGATACTTTGTTATAAAATTGTATATGCATGTGTAGGGTGTCCCAGAAATCAACGCCATTGGATCGAAACTATTAGCAGAATTGTTTTTTTTAAATTATCCATCTTATGATACTTTTAAATTAATTTCGAAATTGTATAATAATAAATAAATAAAAGGATACAAAATAAAATAAAATTTAAATAAATAAAAGGAAAAAATGTGGTTCTTATAGATACTACTCACCTTTAAAATATTAAATAATTTATTGCTGACAAATTAAAAGCATTATTTTTCACAAATCCATCACCACAATGAACTAAAGCAAAGCTGAGTACAAATACTTAAACAATTATAATTTTTTATTGATATATATATATATATATATATATATATATTTAAATTATTAAAGCAATCTGTAATGTATGTATTAAGCTCATATTTTTTTAAAAAAAACATATGTACACATAAAGCAAAATTAAAAAATATTAAAAATATACATCAAACCAATAAGAGAAATATCGATTATTGAATATTATATTTCTCGTTTATTACGTAAACTGGATGACGAATCCTCTTGTGTCTACAATTGGATTAAACACATGATTGCCTTGTTTAGATAATGTATTTTGCATTACAACAATAGTGCAGTAAATTACTTAGATTGAATATAAATTGTACCTGTTGTATCAGCAGTTATATATATTGTGTACATGCATAAATTCAAAGAAGCAGCGATAAATCGTCATTTGAATTGTTTAAGAACACATTACATAATTTTCACTAAAATGATATAATTCAATTAAGCTTGATATGAAATATTATAAAACTCTAAAAATTTTGATACTGATTTATTTGAAGTCGGGTGAAGAAAAAATAGTTACATAAGTTGTAGCTAGTAGAATTTTAATCTGAAAAAATACGTTTTTTTTTAAATATATTGGCGGCTATAAAACAGTAGTGTTTTACGTGATCTTTTGTAAATTATAATTAATAACTATTGGCAGTATGCTCAAAAAATATATTTAGTTAAAGCTGTTTATATAACAAGTCTAATTAATCTTTGTCAAAGTTTTTAATCATTCTTTATGATAGTACTTTTTTCATTGCCAATTCTTGTAATTACTTTGCACAACAAAATATGTATTTTTGTTTAAAACAAATTCAATATTGCTTGAATAAATTTAAATATTTTTTCAAAATCAAAATTTGATTGTGCTATGCTAAATATAAGTGACGAGTATATTCGTCATGGAGAAGTTATACAAAAAAATTGTGTATTAATGAAAATAGTCAGAGCATTGGCTCACGATTTTTGAAAGAAACAAAATTTATTCTCAAATTTCAAGATTTTAGGATAATTTGAAGATTTGCCGTAAAAAAGCAAAAACATATTAACATTTTGAGATGGTTTGATGTGTTGGAGTCAGCAAAAGTTAAAAAAAAATCACTAGTTTTCATTAGAATTTTTTATATCTTGATTCTAACTGCACAAATATGAGGGTGCCAAAGTTAACTGGTTAAGGTATATTGTCTCCATTTTTTATATTAATAATACAATCGCAAAATGACAAAAATAATAAATGTGAAACATCGTAGTTAAAGTACTACCATGAGGGGAAAACTTATAGGGTCCGCCAAATAACTTTATTTTTTTTTTACAAACTACTGAATATTTTTTAAAATTTCTTTTTCTATTTGAAAGTACAATCCTTTCAGTTAATAATGGAATTAATTCAGTTAATAATTTAATTCAAAAATGAAGAAAAAAAGCCTCGGCTGACCGTTGAAAAAAAAATTAAAATGAAAATGAAAAATATTAGATGGCATACCCTATAGAACAAAAATGTTTTAGTATTTTCAGCAATCAACAGAGGGTCTACTGTGCTCAAAATCATCATTAGTTTCAAAGTACTGATTTACTAACTATAATACACATAGTTCTTTTTTAAAAAACTGCTACAGTTGTTATGGTACACGTACTTTAAACGTATAAAATGGTTTTATTATATATTTTATGTGGGAGCATCTTTATGTGAAAATATGCGCATAAAATACGTGTTATCAAAGTAATCCGATTTACCTTTTGTATATTATTTATTTATATAAATATTATTGAGAAATTGAATTTAGTGATAAATTTACGTGCTACATTCGTGTGAAAACAATCAAAATTGAGGTAATAATGGCAAAGTGACCGTGTTTGTTATATATTTAAACTTTTTTTATTAAAAATTGTGTATTGACGAAAATACTCAGAGCATTAACTCACGATTTTTGAGGGCAACAAAATTTATTCTCAGAGTTTTAGTATTTTCCGCACTCAACAAAGAGTCTACTGTGCTCAAAATCATCATTAGTTTTAAAGTACTGATTTAACTATAATACACAATTTAAAGTACTGAACTAACTATAATACACATAGTTCTTTTCTGAAAAGCTGGTTCGGTCGTTAGGGTACACGTACTTTAAACGTATAAAATGGTGTTATTATATATTTTAAGTGAGAACATCTTTATATTAAAATGCGCGTATAAAATATATTTTATCATTATAGTTCGAATAATCTTTTGTATATCATTTATTTATGTAAATATTATTGAGAATTGAATTTAGTGATGTATTTACGTGCTACAGACGTTGCGCCTCTATAGAGTGTGAAAACTGAGGTAAAGGCAAAGTGACCGTGTTTGTTTTATATTTATACTGTTTTATTAATACAAATGCCAATATGTAGAAATTCTCAAACAATCAAAATTTTGAAAAAAAAAAAATAAGCAGATTTATTATGTAAGGTAAGTATAAACTTTTATCTATTTTTGTTAGTTTCGTTACAATTACCATGCTAATCTTTATCACTGCTTCTTTTATAGAAAATCGTGCCGTGCCAAATACAAGTTCTAAAATTTTTGTCTTACATTTTGCTACAATTCCGATCACAGACAAATTCGTTATAAAGAATCGACTCGAAAAAATAAGCATAATTATTATATAAGGTAAGTACAATAAACTTTTATCTATTTTGTTAGTTTCATTATCAATTACCATGCTAATCTTTATCACTGCTTCTTTTCTAGCAAATCGTGCCGTGCCAAATACAAGATCTATAAATTTCATCTTACATTTTGCTACAATTCCGATCACAGACAAATTCGTTATAAAGAATCGACTTGTAATTCGACTGGTGTCGACTTATCAATCTCTGGAAAAGGTTTTTCATCCGGTGATCCGGTGGTAGGTAAGATGGGCGGTTCAGTGTTACTTGACTCTGCGCGCCAGCGGTTATCATTGAAACAAAAGCGATGGGTAAGTGCTAAAACTATTACACAAGAAATAATTTATTATTTGGACATTTTTCAATAATACTTATGTCATTCCTTCTGGTTTCAAACCATGCAATGGTAATTCAACATGGATGATTAACACTTTGGGGACGGCTGTCCACCTCAGTGGACAAACATACTCTGTTAGGCACAGGCTATTTTATAAACAATGACTCAGTTTGCATCGAAAAGTCGAATGAATCACATATAGCAGAAAAACAATATTGCATTTTGAAAATAATTTTAAGTTATTTTAGTAGCATTTTTAGCCTTTTTCTTTGCTATATGGTCTTTTTTTAATATTTAAAACGACCGAGCGCTTTTAAATGGCTTTTAAATACTGGTAAATTTTGTGAATTAAGCAGTAGTGAAGATGAGTTTCAAATAGATATTCACACAGACAAATTTTACGAAATTAGTATTCGCACCGAAGATAG